ATGGGCTCGCCTGCTAGCCCGTAAGATTCCTGTATTTGAACTGTCTATGGACGATGCTCGTCAGTATGCTTTGTATGCTGATGTTGACCATAGTGATGATGGATCTGTGTGCTCGCGTGTTCGTAGTCTAGGATGCTTGCCTCCTGTTAGTGTAGACCTGTGCCTCTCTAGTCTAGGTGCTTTTGTTTCTGGGTCCCCTGGTGTTGGGTCGGCCTTTCACGTCTGGGGCTGCCTTGCGCTTGCCCTCAACACCTCTGCGGACAAGCACTCGGCTCGCGCCATCCCCTGTGTCTTCCTTGGTTTCCCGGTGGGCTCTCCCAACTACTCCTTTTACCACCCGCCCCTCCACCAGTTTCTAGACTCTCGTGATGTCCGGTTTGACGATTCATTGTCCTACTACACCTTGTACCCCTCTCGAGGTCTCCCGGTTCCCCCTCCCCCCCTCTTCCTCGCACCCTCTCCTCCCCCTGCTCCCGCTCCTCCGGTACCCCCGCCCCCCCTGGTCCTGCCCCGCCAGGTGTGTCTCACGCTACCCCCCTACCCTCGGTCGCGCGTCAGGTAGCGTCTCCCTCCTCGCAGTCCTCCTCACAGTCCCTTCAGCAGCCTTCGGCACTTCCGCGACAGGTTAATGTGGACTCGGTTGGTGTTGGAGCTGGAGGTGCAGCCACTGGCGGTACTTGGTCTGGGGGTGCTCGTTCGAGGGGTGCTCGAGCTGGAGGTGCTAGCGCAGGTGGCGCTAGCTCTGGGGGTGCTGGAGCTGGAGGTCCTGGCACTGGAGGTGCTAGTTCTGGGGGTACTGGAGCTGGAGGTGCTGGCACTGGAGGTGCTAGTTCTGGGAGTGCTGGTGCTGGAGGTACTAGCACTGGAGGTGCTAGTTCTGGGGGTGCTGGAGCTGGAGGTGCTGGTACTGAGGAGACGGGAGCTGGAGGCTCGCCTACTGCGTCGCCCACTGCGCGTCCCCACCGCCACGACACCCGTTTCCAGGCCCTTCGCTGGCTTGAGCGCCAGGAGCAGGAGCGGGTGGAGCAGGAGAGGCAGGAGCTGCAGCAGTTGGAGCAGCAGCAGCAGCCGCCGCAGAAGCAGCAGACACCGCAGCCGCCACCGTTGCAGCAGCTGTTCCCTCCAGTGAGTGGCCTTCGGGCCCTTGGTCTTCCTTCCTCTCCTCCTGTCCACTCCCAGTCACCTACTGCGTACGGTCCTACGTTTCCTCCTCCGGACACGACTCCGGCTGTTTTCTCTCCTCCTCAGTCACGGTTGTCTCCTTCTGTTGTCCCGCACGACTGGACCAGTCGTTGTCCTCCACGTGCTCGGCCCTCGTCTCGTCTTGCCGACCTCCGCACCGTCTTGTGTCGTTCTCCTCCTCGTCGTTCTCCGCCTGTGTCTGTTCTCCCCTCACCTCCTGAGTCGTCTCTCACCGTTTCCTCTCACTCTATCACTGACTACTACCGTGCTGCTCGCCCTGTTGTCTCTCGTGTTCTCGCCTCTCTTGTCACCGACCCTCGTGCCTCTCTGTCGTCTGTCTCGGCTCTTACTGCCGCTGTCGCTGACTTTCCTTCCACCCGCCGTCTTGACTACGCCACGCGTGTGGTGGCTGCTCCACCTCCCCGTCCTCTCCGTCGGGGGTGAGTCTGCCCTTGGCTGTGACGTCCTAGAGGACAGGCAATTTGAGCTGGAGTTCTTAGCAGCCACTTCCCCCTCTCTCTGCACCATGCTGCTTTCCCTTGAGGGAGACCCCGACGCCCTTGACATACCGACACCTCGCACGTACCGTGAGGCAGTGTCAGGGGAGTGGGCCTCTCAGTGGAAAGCGGCTATGGATGCAGAGCTAGCGTCTTGGAGATCCACAGGCACGTACGTCGACGCTGTTCCCCTTCCCAGGGCGAACGTTGTCGATGGCATGTGGCTCTTCAAGGTGAAGCGGCCGCCTGGTTCACCGCCTGTGTTCAAGGCGCGCTACGTGGCTAGGGGTTTCAGTCAGCGTGAGGGAGTTGACTTCTTTCAGACCTTCGCCCCGACCCCGAAGATGACTACTCTTCGGGTGTTACTGCACGTAGGAGCACAGCGAGACTACGAGCTACACTCCCTTGACTTCTCCACTGCGTTTCTCCAGGGCCGACTACACAAGGATATCTGGCTGCGGCGTCCTCCTGGCTTCACTGACACCTTCCCACCTGGGACCCAGTGGAGCCTGAGGCAGCCAGTCTACGGTCTCCGCCAGTCGCCCCGTGAGTGGCACGACACTCTTCGCTCCACGCTTCGTGACCTTGGGTTTCGTCCTTCCTCTGCCGACCCGTCGCTGTTTGTTCGCACTGGTTCCACTCCTTTCTTTATACTAGTGTTCGTCGACGACTTGGTCTTTGCTACAGCAGACAGGGCAGCTCTGACTGAGGTGAAATCCGAACTGCAGAAGAGACACAAGTGCACTGACCTCGGTGAACTGCAGCGCTACCTTGGCCTGCATATCACCAGGGACAGAGCCGCTCGCACCATAACACTGACTCGGTCACAAGTGGTGCAGCAGGTCCTTCGGCGGTTCGGGTTTTAGTTCTCCACCACACAGCCCACTCCTCTTGCCGTTGACCACCGACTCACTGGCCCTTTTCCTGACGAGCCCTTTGAGTCTAGTGGCCCCTACGCAGAGCTTGTGGGCTGCCTCATGTAGCTGATGACTTGTACTCGGCCGGACCTCGCCTTTCCCATCAGCGTCCTCTCTCGCTTTGTTGCGACTGGGAGACACCGTCCTGTTAACTGGACAGCTGCTGTGAGGGTGGCGAACTACCTGGCGACTACATCAGGCATGGGGCTTGTGCTTGGAGGGACACAGCCAGTTGTGTTGACCGGTCACTGCGACTCTTCCTACGCTGACGACGTGGAGACTCAGCGCTCGACTCAGGGTTACTGCTTCAGTCTGGGTACTGGTGCTGTGTCGTGGAGGTCTGCACGGTCGTCGTCTGTGGCTTCGTCCAGTGCAGAGGCAGAGATCTACGCTGGTGCCATGGCGGCACATGAGCTTCGCTGGTTGACCTTCTTGCTCGCCGACCTTGGTGAGCGGCCTCGCTCTGCACCGACCTTGTACGCTGACAACAAGGCCATGATCCTCCTATGTCGAGAGCGTCGACTGGAGAGCAGAGTGAAGCATATTGACGTGGGGTACTTCCTCCTGCGAGAGTTGCAGCGACGCGGCCAGGCACGCTTGGACTTTGTGGCCTCAGAGGCCAACACTGCCGACGTCTTCACCAAGGCCTTGGCTCCTGGTGACCACCACAGGTTCAGTGTGCAGTTGGGGCTTGTTGAGGTAGGCCCTCGGTTGCTGTAGACTTTCTGTTTGCTCTGTTTGTTGTGCTTTGTTATACATATCCTATTGAACTCTTGAACTGGCCTTGTGACCGCTTGCTTGCGCTCGGAATTTGTGTGGTGTCCTTGAGATCCACCATGAGCTTGCTTTGCTTCTTGCACTGACTGGTCTTGTGACCGTTTGTTCACCCTGCTTGCTTTGATGCCCCTCACTTAGCCTATGGGGGTGTGTCAAATGTTGAACATTGATATAATAGGCTGTAGTGAGTAGCACTGTAGAGATTACAACACTTTCTAGGTTTGCTATTTGTATCACTCACTTTCCTAGTTGATGCATTCCATTGTGTTCCTACTTTGAGATGGGGAGCCGCAATCCTGTACGAGGGAAAAAATACGAGGAAATCAGGGTTGTTATAAGGTCGAAGGCGATGAATGGCCATACTAGACGCCATGAAATGTTATGCATATATTGTTGGGTCTGGGAAAATGTTATGGGGTAGTTGGAAACATTTGTACATCAGACATGTCAGGTTGCACTATGAGAAAAAATTTAAATGTACATACGGTAGAGGATTTCCATTTGGCGCATCTCCACATGCTCAGAACTAGTCAATGTGACGTGATGCATAGCATATATATATATATATATATATGTTCAGCGCGTGATGGGGTATGCAACATTGGTTGGAGTATTGTGTGCAGACGAGAATGCTATTGCAGGGAATAGAAGTACAGTTTGGCTGGCGAAACCGGGCGATTCTGATGCGTGCGACTGTTGCAGGCGAAGCAATCTTTACCCCGTGCGAAACACTTCGTGTGTCCCTCTGTTGCGCTCAGGTAAGTCTACGACGATAATTGCTTTCGCGTCAAGAAAATTCTAGCATGTTCTCGCGTCTGGTTTCCCTTCTGCACCTAAATTCGCCAAGGCGTTGATGCTTTTCGGGGGGTGACGACGTGGATACCAGTGATGCGGGAGCATTCAGGCGGGAAGGGTCCTGGGGAGATCTGGCTCACACGACGAGGGGCACCACGGGTTCTTGGGGCAAGGGGGCCAGTCCGCCTACCCGTCCGTAGAAAGGGGAGTGACGACGAGGAGCACATCCGCTGGGCAGGCACACGCAGCCTAGGGATTGCTAGAGCCACTCTCTCACTGAAACTTCAGCCAGTGTCCCTGAAGCGAAAATTTCCCCGCGCGAAACGCTTCGTGAGCTATTTTGCGGGTCTGGCACGCAAAATTTCAGGGTTTGATTTGGTCCGTCGGACCAGCCCTCGATATTCGTGTAGAACTTGGTTTGGGCCTGGTCCGTCGGACCAGCCCTGATTCGGCAAACCAGGGGCTCCGCGGATGAGGAACACTCCCTCCTGAGGCGTCGATTCTAGGGTGACGACGCGGATTCTGGTGATGGGGGAGTATTCTAAGGTGCGGGGGAGGGAAGGGGATCTGGCTCACGCGACGAGGGGCACCACGGGTTCTGGGTGACAAGGGGAGGAAGAAAAGCAACGTCGGCTTTGCTCTCACGGGTAAAGGGGGGTGAGAGTCGAGGAGCACATCCGCTGGGACACGCAACCTAGGGATTGCCACGCCCACTCTCACCGACACATCAGCCACTATATAACTGAGGGTCCTTTGCTATTGCGCAGACTCTCCCAGCAACCTTATTAGCCTTCCAGCACTTAGTTCCGTTTCATCTTATTAGCTAGTCAGAATGGCTGCAGTATCGCCGGCCGAACAGCTGTCAGACGATCTTCTCTCCGCTATCCTCCATCGCGTCGGCCGATCCGGTCAGTTCCAGCACGCGCTTGTGTGCAAGAAATGGCATCGCATCGCCCGTAGCGTGCACGACCACATCCAGATTCGCGAAGAGCGTCGCATGCGTCCTCGCGAGCTGCTCGCACTACTCTCGTCATTCCCAAGGCTCCGAAAGCTCGTCCTCGCCGTCGGCAGCATCACATCCGTCCCTGACTCCCTCCTCTCGGGGATTGCCGACACGTGTCCAGATCTGACAGACCTCCACGTCGATTCGATGGAACGAGAGTGCCGGCAGGGGGGGTTCACTGAGAACGCACTCTCGGATTTCCTGGAGAAGTGCACGCGGCTGGAGGGACTTCATCTTCATTGTCAGTCGAATCTGACCGCCATTCCCGCGTCAATCGGCGGCCTTTCGTCACTCAAGAGCCTGCACATCACCGACAGGGGGGGGATCGCTCGCCTTCCAGACGCGTTCACCTCGTTACAGGCACTCGCGCATCTCGTGATTGAAATGCGCAGCCTGGTCGAACTGCCTCAGGGCTTCGGCAATCTGAGTCGGCTCAAGACGCTCCGCCTGAACGACTGCATGCATCTCACTTCCATTCCCGATTCTTTGGGGCAGCTTACTGGCTTGATGCAACTTTCCTTCAGCGGGTTCGAGAGGCTTCAGCTGCCCGAATCCATTTCCAATCTTTCATCGCTACTGACCTTCGAAATTTTCAACGGCCTCATCCTTTCACCGCTGCCCGAGGGGTTAGGGAACCTGCCGGCGCTTGAAACCCTACGTTTGGAGGATGTGGGGGGGAGCACAGATCTGCCCGAGAGTATCGGGCAGCTGCTTTCCTTAACGGACCTTATCCTCGTGTGCCGAACACTCCAGCATCTGCCTCACGACCTCGCTCGTCTGCCACGCCTACGCGCGCTCAAGCTATACGTTGGAACTGCCGTGCACCTGCGTCCCTCCACATACCTTGCCACTACACTCAAAGACCTCACGATTGACAACTCTGCAACTCTACATTCTCTGCCCGAGGAATTCGGGCAGTTGACTGCCCTAGAGGCCCTGCGCCTGGTTGACCTTTCTGAGCTCCACAGCCTGCCCGCGTCGCTTGGCAGCTTGAGGAGCCTCAAGGAGCTGAAAATATCCCATTGTGCGGCGCTGGCACAGCTTCCAGACGGCCTGAGCCTGCTGTCTTCTCTCGAGCTGCTGGACATCAGTCACTGCTGCAAGCTGGCAGCACTACCGCAGGGCATGGGGGATGGCCTGCATCGCCTGCGCAGACTGATTCTGGTCCAATGCACAGCTGTCGCCCACCTCCCTCCATCCTTCTCTGGCCTCTCCTCACTCGAAACCCTAGAAATCAGTGACGCAACCAGCCTAGGCACGCTACCAGACGTGTTTTCCCACTTGACAAACCTTAAGGAGCTCTCTTTTTACTGCTTGCCGCACCTGTCCGCCCTGCCTCCCTCCCTCCCTGCCATCGGCCGTTCTCTCACCAAGCTCGAGCTGCTCGATTGCCCGCAAATCACAGCGCTGCCGGAGGAAATCGGACGGCTGGGAGCGCTTGAAAGACTCACGCTCTACAGTCTACCCAACCTGAAGTCGCTCCCTCGCTCACTGTGTCAGCTGCTGCATTTGAAAAAACTGCAATTGAAATACTGCAACGCGCTGCAGTCACTGTTTGGGGAGGAAGACCAGGGAGCCGCATCACATGGCCGTGGGGCGGGAACCACCCGCCTCGAGGTACCTGGTCACACGGGTAGCAGCAGTGCCGCTGACAGCTGTTTGGGATCCGAGGAGAGTGGCACGGGTGTGTCACTCCCATCCCTCAAGGTTCTTGAAGTATGGGGCCTTCCAGTGCAGCTGCTCGCTCCATCACTGGGTTACTTCTCATCCGTAACCTTCCTGGGTATCTCGCAAATGGATCCAGTACGGTGCCTTCCAGATTCCATCGCTTGCCTCTCTCGCTTGCAGTCACTCACGATCAACTATACCAACAGCCTGCTTGCTCTGCCAGAGTCAATAGGAAAGCTTTCAGCGCTCACATGCCTCAGTATTGACGGTCTCGCGAGCTTGACGGAGCTGCCTGAGTCGCTCGGGCAGCTGAAGAAGCTTCAGGTTCTTAGAATTGAGCAATGCTGGTGCCTAACCAGGCTTCCCGAGTCCTTCGGCGATCTCTGTAGACTGGAGCAGTGCCTTTTGAAGGATGTCGGAATCTCGTGCCTTCCAGATGACTTCTGGAAGCTCTCTGCTTTGAAAGAACTCTTGCTCTCGTCACTGCCCAAACTCCGCAGCCTGCCCGAATCTTTTGCCCAGCTGCCCGCGCTGGAGAAGTTGGAACTGTTCGACTGCAAGCGGCTGACTCAATTATCCTCGGGCCTTGGGCAGATGCGGAAGCTGCAGGGATGCATTGTCTCTAGCTTCCACCGGCGGGAGCCAAATTTAAGGTCCGTGATTCACGCAGCGAACCTGGACGAGGGAGAGCGCGTGGTGGATGACTCACAGGTTGGGGAGGAGGAGGAGGAAGAGGATGACTCGGAGGGAGAAGATGACTCAGAGGACGAGGATGAGGAGGGCGAGGATGAGGAGGAGGGGGAGGATGAGGAGGAGGGGGAGGATGAGGAGGGAGAAGATGAGGAGGAGGGGGAGGAGGAGGAGGGCGAGGATGAGGAGGAGGGGGAGGAGGAGGAGGGGGGGGAGGATGAAGGGGAAGGCGGGACAGCGGAGGAGGATGAGGGACGTGAAGGCGAAAGGAGTGAAAGGGAGGGGAGAGAGGGGAACGAAGGCGAGGGGAGCGAAGGGGAGGGGAGCGAAGGGGACGGGGATGAAGGGGAGGGGAACAAAAGGGAGGGGAGAGAAGGGGAGGGGAGCAAAGGGGAGGGGAACGAAGGGATTGGGGGCGAGAGGGAGGGGAGCAAAGGGGAGGTGATCGAACGGGAGGGGAACGAAGCGGAGGGGAACGAAGGGGAAGGGAACGAAGGAGAGGGGACCGAAGGGGAGGGGAACGATAGGGAGCGGAGCGAAGGGGTGGGGAGCCAAGGGGAAGGGAGCGAAGGGGAGGGGAACGAATAGGAGGGGAGCGAAGGGAAGGGGAATAAAGTGGAGGGGAGCGAAGGTGAGGGTAACAACGGGGAGGTGTGAACGAAGGGGAGGGGAGCGAAGGTGAGGGGAACAAAGGAGGGCGAATGGGGAGGGAGCAAAGGAGAGCGGAGTGAAGGGTAGGGGAATGTGGAACGGAGGAGCTAGTGGAGTGAGATGAAGATGAGGAGGACGAGCAAAGCAAGGACGGAGAGGTGAGAGAGGAATGGCAAGTTGATGGAAGACGATGATTCAGAGGAGGAAATAGGTGATATGAGGGAGGGTGGGGGGTTCATTAGAGAGAGAGTTGTATGATTGTATGCAGTGTTTGATGTCAACCCAAGCTGTACTCGTACCTTTGTTGGCTGAACGACATTTGAGCTGCATAAAAGCGTGTCATGTCAACCCGAGTGTTACATGTTGTACTTTCTTGCCAGAATGCCTGTTGGTGGTAGGGTTCTGTTTCTGTTTTCTGGTCATGCTAAGTTTGCTTGCACCGCTGAAGCCTGCCTAAGTCTCTCCACCACTCTCCCTCCCCCCCAATTGCCCCCTCCTAGGTGTCTTCAAATCTGCCCTCTCCCGCGACGACATGTCAGCAGCCAAGCGGTCTTGATGAGCTGACATCCTACCCGGGCGGGCAGGTTTCGCAAGTTCTCCGTGTGCACGGGCAGCTGTTTAAATGCTTGGCGCTGCTGGGGCTTGGCAAGCCGGATGTGCCTTTGAAGGGGGCAAGACAGAGGGTGGTAATCTATGGTACAGCAAACCTGGACAAGGGAGAGTGTGCAGTGGGTGGCTCGGATCGGAGGAAGAAGGTGAAGGGGAAGTGTGGTGGATGGGGGAGGAGGATGAGGAAAGTGAAGAGGAGGAAGGAGAGGGGAGTGAAAGCGAGGGGAGTGAAGGCTAAGGGAGTGGGAAAGGGGGAGGTGGAGTAAGTGAGCCAGAGACATAATTCCAACCAGTGAAGACGATGGCACTGTGTAGATGGTGGTGGGGCAGCTTGGTCGGCATGCATAACACGAGATGAGAACGGGTGCAGAAGGGTGTGTCAGCGTGCCAGTCTTCACTTGTGCCACCGAGCTACATGCTGTCAAAGTATGCACATATATTACTGTAGGCTATACTAGGGTACAACATAGATGGGATAACCCATTAGGGTTTCATACTTGTATCTCCTTCATTCCTAGTCAACTCATTCATGCTCGCTAGGTTCTGACATGGTTTCAGAGCACGTAGGTCCCTAGGACCGATTTTTTTTTTAGGGCCCACTGTTCGTTCTACCCTGCCCGTCTTTCTCCCCTGCCCGTAACGATCGCGACCCGGCCGCCCACTAGAGCCGGCCTGCCCCACGTGTTCGCACCTGCCCTGTCTCGCGCGCTGCCCCACACGCTGCCAGCGCGCTGCCCTAGGCGCTACCCGCACGCGTAGCTGCCCGCGACCTGCCCGCGCCTGCGCTGCCCGTGCCCCGCGCGCTCTACTGCCCGCGCCCCGCACGTCCTGCTGCCAGCGTCGCCTACTGGCGTGCGCTCCCTGCTGCCCTGCGCCCCACGTGCGCCCTGCTGCACACGCGCACTGCGCGCCCTGATGCCCCGCGCCCCGCGCGCCCTGCTGCCCGCGCGCCCTGCGTGCCCTGCAGCCCGCGCGCGCCTGCTGTCCGCGCGCCCTGCTGCCCGCGTCGCCTGCTGCCCGCGCGCCCTGCTGCCCGCGTCGCCTGCTGCCCGCGCGTGCCCTGCTGCCAACGCGCCCTGCTACCCTGCGCCCTGCGTACGCCCTGCGGCCCACGCGCCCTGCACGCCCTGCTGCCCAGTGCCCCGCGCGCCCTGCTGCCCGCGCGCCCTGCAGCCCATACGCGCCTGCTGCCCGCGCGCCATGCATCCCGCGTCGCCTGCTGCCCGCGCGTGCCCTACTGCCAGCTCGCCCTGCTGCCCTGCGCCCTGCGCGCCCTGCTGCTCCGCGCCCCGCGCGCCCTGCGCACCTTGCTGCCTCGCACCCCGCACGCCCTGCTTCCCGCGCGCTGCCCTAGCCGCCCGCGCACTGCCCTAGCCGCCCGCGCCCTGCTGCCACAGTCACAGCACCTCCCACTACAACAACTGCCGCTACGACTGCCACTGCAGCCCTTGCGCCGCCGCTGCTGATTGCTGCTGCCCGTCATGGCCACGCCGCTGGTCTTAGCGGTTGACGCAGACGGACGCCCTTACAAGTTAGGGTTGTGGCTTTCGTGCCTGCGTGTGTATCTACGGCGTTTCATTAGAGATAGCGTCTCCCTTCTCGAGCACACGTCGGGGTCCCTTCCGGCCCCGACGACTCCCACTGAACCTGCTGCTGACGCTGGCGAGGACGTGCAGAGGCGGTACCGGGTGGATAGGTTGGGGTATAGACAGTGGACGGAGCGCGACGCTGTCGCACAGTGTGTTGTCCGAGCTCTCCTGCCGGTCGACCAGAGGGCCCACTTTCGTCAGGTGACGTCGGCCCAGACTTTGTTCAACGTTGTTGTTAGACACTACTCCTTCTCTCCTGCCACCCGGCCTCTGCAGCAGCGGCGTCCGTTGTTAGGGGAGGTGCAGCCACTGGTCGAGGAGGCGAGTGCAGATACCTGTGCGTCTGCTCGTACAGGTGGTGCAGCTGGTGGAGGAGGAGGTTCTGGGAGAGGACAGCAGTCCTCCAGGACCAGTTGGTCACTATCACTACTCCTGGGGGTGAGCTTGTGGCGATCTGTACGGACTCACGGACTGGCGCCCACCTCGCCACGTTCACTCGGAGACCCGGGTTTGGCCTGTACACACTGACCACTGAGTCTGCACATGTAGCTGCGTCCGGTCAGGTCGCTTCGCCTTGCTCGTGTCGGTTACTCACGCACCCGTCTCTCCTCTAGCACCACCGTCTGGGTCACCCCTCCCTGCCGCGTCTGCGTAGCATGCACTCCCATCTCCTTGTCTCTGGCCTCCCAAGGTCCCTGCCCCCGCTCCCGCGGTCACTTGCACCGCCGTGCCTTCCCTGCGTCGAGGGGCGGCAGCGTGCCGCTCCTCACTCCTCCTCGTTTCCACCGACCACTGCTCCTCTGCAGACTCTCCACATGGAGGTGTGGGGCCCCGCCCGCGTCCGTGGACAGGACCACAAGCGCTACTTTCTGCTGGTTGTTGACGACTACACGCGCTACACCACGGTCTTCCCCTTGCAGAGCAAGGCGGATGTCCGCGGTGCTTTGATCCCCTGGATCCGCACTGTTCGTCGCCAGCTAAGCGCACGGTTTCAGCAGGACCTTCAAGTCCTGCAACTGCACTCTAACAGAGGCGGTGAGTTTTCCTCCCGCCTCTTGAGGACTTTTGTTGTGAGGAGGGCATCGCCCAGTCGTTCACGCTTCCGGCCTCTCCACAGCATAATGGGATTGCTGAGCGTCGCATTGGCTTGATCATGGAGGTTGCTCGCACCTCCATGATCCATGCGGCTGCTCCCCATTTCCTGTGGTCGTTTGCAGTCCCATACGCCGCGCATCAACATCCGCCACGTGTCTCTGTGCCAGAGACCTCGCCTACACTACGTTGGACGGGGGAGGTTGGCGATGCGTCGGCGTTTCGGGTCCGGGGCTCGCTTGCCCTTGTCCGCGATCCTACCGCGGGCAAGCTCTCTCCTCGCATTCTCCGCTGCGTCTTCCTTGGCTTTCCCACCGATGCCCTGCCCTGGCAGTTTTACCACCCTGCCACGCGCCGTGTCCTGTCCTCCTAGGACGTCACCTTTGACGAGTCGTTTTGCTTCTACCGTCTCCGCCCCTATAGCACTTCCCCCGTCCCCCCCGCCGCATCTCTTCCTGGTTGCAGGTCCCCCCCTGGTAGACCCTCTCCCCCCACAGGGTCCTGCTCCCTCAGTTGTGTCTCAGGTAGACCCCCCCCCCCCCTTGGTTGAGCCTTTGGAGGTCTCCTCTAACACCTCTGGCCCAACTGAGCGAGGTGACGATGCTGCTGACGACACATCAGCCACTCGCCGCTCACCGCGCTTGGAGACCCCTCCTGTTTTTCCGCCTCGGCCGTCTTCGCTGCATCGGCAACCTGTTGCGGTAGACTCCGGTGCTGGTGGGGGTGGTGACACTGGAGGTGCGGACTCTGGGGGTGCTGACTCTGGAGTTGCTGGTTCTGGGGATGCTGAGTCTGGGGGTGCTGGTTCTGAGGGTGCTGCTTCTGGGGGTGCTGCTTCTGGGGGTGCTGCTTCTCAGGGTGCTGCTTCTGGGGGTGCTGCGCGTCCTAGTGGTGGTGGAGTCGTGGGTGCTTCTGCTGGAGGTTCTGGCGTTGGACAGCAGCAACAGTCTCGTCGACAGGAGACTCTCTCGCCGCAGCAGCTTCGCGAGCGGGTTATTCGGCGAGGCCGCTCTGGTGGTGGTGCTTGGGGTACTGGTGCTGGAGGTGCTAGAGGTACTGGAGCTGCTCGTGCTGGAGGTGCTGGAGTTGGAGGTGCTGGAGGTACTGGAGCTGGAGGTGCTGGAGGTACTGGAGCTGCTGGTGCTGGAGGTACTGGAGCTGATGGTGCTGGAGGTACTGGAGCTGCTGGTGTTGGAGGTGCTGGAGCTGAAGGTACTGGAGGTACTGGAGCTGCTGGTGCTGGAGGTGCTGGAGCTGAAGGTGCTGGAGCTGGAGGTGCTGGAGGTACTGGAGCTGCTGGTGTTGGAGGTGCTGGATCTGTAGGTACTGGAGGTGCTGGAGCTGGAGGTACTGGAGGTGCTGGAGCTGGAGGGGCTGAAGGTACTGGACCTGGAGGTGCTGGAGGTACTGGAGCTGCTGGTGCTGGAGGTGCTGGAGGTGCTGGAGGTACTGGTGCTGGAGGTACTAGAGCTGGAGGCTCTGGTACTGTGGGTACTGCGCACCGGCAACCGTTTTTCTTCCCGTAGCCACAGTCGTCACTGCCACCACCTAACTCGGCGCTTCACTATGATCTTAGTCTTCTGTCTTCCACTGGCCTTACTCCACCTCTGTTGTGTCCTCCGTGTGACCAGTCACAGCTGCCGTTATTGCCTCACTCCCCTCTGCCTGCTCCTTCTCCTTACCCTGAGCAGACAGACTCCCTGACAGAGCGTCGTGAGCCTGCGTCTCGTCTTGCCTCGCCTGTTCGCACTGTTAGTCGTGCTCTTCGTGTTCGTCCTCCACCAGTCCCCGGCACACACACTGTGGCACTTCGTCCTTCCTCTGTACCACAGCGTGTTGCTCTGCCGTCTCCATTAGAGTCCTCTCTTCCTGACGTTCCTGAGCCTGAGTTCGACCTACTCATGCTGCTAGTCCTACTGTCACGCGTTTCCTGGCCACCCTTGTCACTGACCCTTCCTTTGATTCTACTGCTGCGACTGCCTTAGTCACTGAGCTCGTTGACTTTGCTGCTGCCTGTCGTTTAGACTACTTCACGAGTCTTGTTACTGAGTCTGATTCTGACTGTCCTCCGTCAGTCAGGGGTGAGCTTGCCCTTGGCAGTGACGTCCTTGAGGACAGGCAGTTTAAGCTCGAGTGCCTCGCGGATGATGTACCTCATCTTGCTCCCATGCTGCTTTGCCCCGAAGGAGACCCGGATGCACTAGACATCCCGACCCGGCACTCTTACGCGGAGGCGATCACGAGTGAGTACTCCTCTCAGTGGAAGACAGCCATGGATGCAGAGATGGCTTCCTTGAAGTCCACAACCACCTACGTCGACGCAGTTCCCCTTCCTTGGGCGAACATAGTCGATGGCATGTGGATTTTCAGGGTCAAGCGGCCGCCGGGTTCACCGCCTGCCTTCAAGGCGCATTACGTTGCACGAGGCTTCAGTCAGAGACAGGGAGTCGAATTCTTCCATAACATGTCTCCCACCCCGAAGATGACCACTCTTCGGGTGTTACTGCACGTTGAAGCACATCCTGACTACGAGCTCCACTCGCTTGACTTCAGCACAGCTTTCTTGTAGGGCAGCCTTCACGAGGAGATCTGGCTGCGCCGCCCACTTGGCTTTACTGGGTCGTTTCCTGAGGGTACCCAGTGGAGCCTCCGGCCGCCAGTCTACGGTCTCCGCCAGGCGCCCCGCGAGTGGCACAACACACTGAGTACTACACTTGCGGCTCTTGGTTTTGCTCCTTCGACTGCTGATACGTCGCTTTTTCTGTGCACCGACACATCTCTGCCGCCGTTCTACATCCTTGTGTACGTCGACGACTTGGTGTTTTCTACTGCTGACACTGAGGCACTGGCCCTTGTGAAGGCGGAGCTGCAGAAGAGACACACTTGCACTGACCTGGGTGAGCTGCGCAGCTATCTTGGCTTGCAGATCACCTGGGAGAGAGCAAGGGGCACCATCACTCTGACTCAGTCACACATGGTGCAGCAGGTCCTTCAGCGTTTCCACTTTCAGTTCTCCTCGTCACATCACACTCATCTGCCTACAAGCCACTCACTCTCAGCTCCACCTTCGGATGAGTCCGTAGAGCCGAGTGGCTCGTATCCAGAGCTTGTGGGCTGCCTCATGTACCTGATGACGTGCACACGACCTGACCTCGCGTACCCTCTCAGCATCCTTGCTCGCTTCGTTGCGTGCGGGAGACACTGGAAGGAGCACTGGACAGTTGCGTAGAGGGTACTGCGTTACTTGTGCAGTACATCAGGCATGGGGCTTGTGCTTGGAGGACGGGGTCGAGTAGTACTCACTGGGCACTCTGACGCTTCTTGGGCTGACGACGCTTCTTGGGCAGGAGACCCAGCGGTCGTCACAGGGTTACACTTCCAGTCTTGGCGCTGGTTCTGTCTCCTGGAGGTCCACCCGCTCGTCTTCTGTACTTAGTTCCAACTGTGAGTCAGAGATCTACGCTGGGGCTATGGTTGCACAGGAGTTACGCTGGCTGACCTACTTGCTGGCTGACTTGGTGAGCGGCCTCGTTCTCCTCTAGTTCTGTACGTCGACAACAAGGCCATGATTGCCTTGTGCCGGGAGCAGAGGCTGGAGCACAGAACGAAGCACATTGCCCTTCGTTACTTTCTTGCACAAGAGCTGTAGCAGCGTGGTCAGCTTTGCCTTGAC